AAAATCCCAGTAGATTAGCAGTTTCTGAAATACTCAGACCAGCCCTTCTGGCACCAACAATCATGCCACGTTCAAAGTCACTCAAATCAACTTTCTTCCCCATACTGATGCTCGGTTTGAACTGCAGGAGATTGTCTTGACCATGTCTACATGCCTAAATGCACTGAGTTGCCGCCATGTGATTGGCTGCTTAGAAATTAAGTGTTAACGAGCAGTTGGACAGGTGTACCTAATAAAGTGGCCGGTGAGTGTATAGATACAGCTATATCTAGGAGCTAAAGTTCAATCTTTAAAAGCACTCCATCTTGTTAAACTGTTTACTTTTTTAATGAAGATAAAGAAATACAGCTATGTCTTCCAGACTATTTATCTCAGGTTGTTAGAGTTTGTTTGATTTATTTAATTTGCTACAGTTACTGCAAACACACTTTATATTATTTAACTGTTTACTTTTGAAGAAAATACTTGAAGTAAATGGCGCTTTTCCACTGCTGGTACGGCTCGGTACGGTTCGACTCGGCGCGGAACGGTTCGGCTCGCTTCGCTTTTCCACTGCGTGGTACGACTCGACTCGGTACGGCACGGCTCGGTTCGCTTTAGCTCGGTTGCTTTTCCACCGCAGTTAGTACCCCTTCAAAGTGGGTGGGACTGATCGTTATTTTGTCCCTACACTGTTTGTAGGTCCGGTGATAGCCGTGTGCGGCTAAGAGCTGAGCTACTTCTTGGAACACTTTTTCATTCCGGTTTGCCCCATCCAGCTCTCGCTGGATCCGCTCCTCAGCAACCAACGAGAGGAACGTCTGCACCTCGTCCACTGACCACGATTCAGCCATTTCTTTTTAAAGTTTAAAAAACAGATGCTACCGCGTTGGCTGTTGTCTACTGGTTATTTAAATCTAGCGGGTTTAGTGTCCAATGACGCTGGTAGTGACGATTCTGTCTAACCAATCAGTGATCTGCAGTGTTTTTACGTCACATTTTAGTACCGGTACGGTACGCTTGGAACCTCAACAGACCAGGTACCATTTAAAGCGAGCCGAAGCGAGCCGTACCGTACTGTACCATGCAGTGGAAAAGCACCACAAGTGAGCCGAACCGAACCGTACCGTACTATGCAGTGGAAAAGCGCCAAAAGAATGTCTACCAGACCAGTTGTCTGATATTGGGAGTTTGATTTATTTAATTAAGAATTTGTAGTTTAAAAGTTTACTTTTGTTGTGAACAAAACACTTGGAAGTATAGGTTGTTAACTTGACCAGTTGTCTCAGGTTGTGAGAGTTTGATTTAATTCGCTAGAGTTAAATGCACTTTATATGGTGTAACTGTTTACTTTTCTTACAAAGATAATACTTGAGGTGGAGGATAAACCTCTTGCTGTCTGTCGACGTGCAATAAATATCGAAAGTTACGTACAAACACCTGTCTGTTCTACTCATTTCAACTGACTTGTGAAAACTGCTAAAAAAAAAATCCAAATTCTTTGACATATAGCAACTTTTTTTTTAACAGTAACGCAAATAGTTACTTTCCCTGGTAACGAGTTACTTTTATTATAGAGTAATTCAGTTACTAACTCAGTTACTTTTTGGAACAAGTAGTGAGTAACTATAACTAATTACTTTTTTAAAGTAACGTTCCCAACACTGCATTTAATAAGCAACTTTAGTTTCTGCTGATGTCCTTTGGTAGTCAAACACAACTGTCCTGGTCCACGCAGCTCTGCGTGCTCTGTGTGTGTGTGTGTGTCTTGTAAACCTGCCATGGACGTATTCCAGAGAGCAGGTTATGCAACATACCTGGGTAAGATTACGGATAAATTAGCAGATAATCTCAACTTTCAGTTCCAAAAATGGAAGTAACTTTCGGTGTGCATTAACCGCAGCAGCTCTGAACATAATCCGCTCCGGAGCAGCTCTGGTACAGGGTTAGTTTACTCTCAGAGATCGTGGGCTTGACAGATTTCATAGCATTTCAGACGAGACCACTTTGGCAAGTTACTTGGGTTTATTAAACTCAATTTATCTTTGGTGGTATGGTTCCTTATTGGAGTTCTTGCTCCATAATCAATGACATACAGAGCTTTAGCATTAACCCCCCGTAGAGCCATCAGCTTGAGTGATATACAGATGATTAAGACACTTTAGTAATGTCTGTAAAGTAACAGTTTTAACATGTAGACGTAGCAGTAAATCCCTGGACGTCTATACTGGAGCTTGGCTATGAGGATGACTGTCTCTCGGCGATGATGTCCGTGACAGCTAGGACTTGAAAGCCTTAGTAATCTGAAACAAAAGAAGACGACAGCCAGAAGGTGCACGGTAATATGCTTGATACTCACAGTGGTGAGGGCGGGAGGGTTGTGAGCGGTTTGAGCGTGCTTACTGAGCAGTGCCATGCAGATATATCCTCCCGGTCTAGGAGAATGGTAGTGATTTTAACATAATCTAATTTTGACCTCCCTTGGTCAAAATCAAGGGCTCGAGGGTCTGTCCAAATAAACTTCCCTCGTCCACTTGAAGTTAACGCACTTCAAAACGACAGTGGGGATTCTCCCGAGGGGAAGTTCACAAGTGTGTGTATACACGTGTTTTTACGGCCTTCTCTCTGTCTCGTTCACTGTGATGTACAGTAGGTCATGGCTTACACTGCACCAGTGTCCACTACAGGCGGGACCCTTCACTGTAAAAAAATATTATTGGTTTAACATTTTTAGTTCACAGAAATGTCAAATGTGAGTTAATACAATGGAGATTCATTTAATCAACAGAAACTAAAACCAGTATGTTATGTGAACCACATTAATAATCTAATTTGATTTGACAAAAGAAAAAAGTTGTGATAACAAATCGGTGGGGATTCCCACGAGGGGAAGTGCTCAGGGAAGTTCGCGAGTGTCTAAAAGTGTGTCTCATTTGGAGAACCAACCCCTGGTTTCTCTCAGGTGCTCCACCTGATGGCTTTCTTGTGTAAATCTGCATCTTCCAGGCATAGCTGGATTTGGCATCACAGGCCGTCCATACTTTGATGCCATATTTGGCTGGCTTTTTTTGGAATATACTGACGCAACATGACATCATGACTTTGCGTAAACATACACGCCACTTTCAAGTCAAGTGGCGTGTTATCTATACGCATTTTGAGCTATCCACGTGTATGTCCACGCCGAAATCTTTTGCGTGTATGTCTACGCCATTAAACGTCCGAGTGATTCCGCGTGTATGTGTACGCCGTTAAATGTCCGAGCGAAACGAAGCAAAATCTATATCTACATCTGTGGAGCGATATTTCTTTTCCTAGGATGGTAGGAGAAGACTCATAAATGGTATTAACCCCAGTGACGGGTAGGTTTAGGGACGGGGTTGGGGTAGGTCATATATTTATATATACATAATACAGTAATATAAAGTTAAGTCAAAGGCGTTGATAAACACGCTGAAAAGCGATTATGCGTGTTGATAGCACGCCAAAAATGGAAATACGAATTGGCGTGTCATACATACGCCATTTCATGAGATCAGTCTGACTGACGAGAAGGACAGCGTCCTCTGAATGGTACGAGGCGTTCATCCGCTGTAATGTGTGATCCAGGTGAGGTAGAATTTCTACTCATTTATCCCACACATTTCTGATTTCCGCTAATTGGTCCCTCTCACGTCGACTCGGTCTGTCATCAAAACGAATGACCAGAGAAATCTTTCCGGAGACATTGTGGAGCGAAATACTGGCCTTCCACACTCTGGACTAGATGAAGCCTCTGGCTTTGCTCTGTACACTCCTGCTAAAATTAGCAATCTTCCAAATTCCCTCCAGATCGGTCATATCCAGGATAATCTCCATTGGTTGTAAATAAAGTTCAAAAGCTGAGTGTGTGTTGTGGACTCTTGAGATCGTGTCACAGGCCGGGGCGGCAACCAGACCTTGAACGCCGCCCCTTTCTAAGTGCACCACCCTGAGGAGCCTGACCAGAGAAACGCCACAGACAGGACAACGGGATAAGATACAAAGTTGTTGCTTTATTCGATTAAAATAGTTTCTCAGAACAGGGTATCAATTAATCAATCTCTTCTTTGTCTTCCAAGGTCCCAAAGATATAGCGGCTGCGGAAAGAAGGGCTCACGCTGGCGTCGACAATGGTCATGTACCCCACAGCGAATCCTCCGGACAGTCCGTGAACAGCATTCAGGTAAGAACTTCACAACGGATCCTCAGGACAGATTGCAATGGCGGAGAAGTAGGAGGTAATAACTATCTGGTGAGTGTGTATTTGTCTGTGTCTGAAGAACACACATAAACAACAGTATTTCTCATTTTCTCTTAAGTCAGGTTCACACGGTAGATTTATAACAGTCCTTTACGACTGTTGCTTTCTGTACGAACATGATCATCATCGCTGTAAGCCAGGTCACACTGTAAGATCCCAGTTGTCATTATTGTCAGACTATACGGCAGTCGAGATGTGATTAAAACTCCGGACGACTCTTCTCGCATCAATCCATGAGGCGCTTGGTGACGGTGAACTGCAAGAGAAATTAAAATGGTGCCTAGCAAACAAAAACAATCTCTAGCGTCAATGTTAATCATAGCTTGTCTTGAAAAGAAAAATGAGAAAGAAAAAAAAACTGCTTGTGGAGCAAGTGTGGTTAGCTGTGGGACCATCAGGTTCTGCTCTATTAGTTTTTGCTTTGACGGTTGTCGTAGGAGAATCCGCACTGCACGACTTTCAAATCAATCTGACATTGGCAGAATTTAGTCTGAGAAGAAATTTGATGATCATAAATCTGCTGTCGGTGAACATGTCAAACTACATGATCAACACTACAGATTATGTTCTGGAATCAGAGGAATCTTTTAGGATTCTCAAAATCATACAGTGTGAACCAGGCTTTCATTTGTACACTAAATAAAACACTAAACAAACAAATTTGGTCACTAATATCATTTAGTCAAATATACATGTCAACTGTACAAACTGACGTGTAAAACGCTGCCCAGACCCCCCACGCGTCTCTAAGACAGGGAGATGTCGGTGTCGTTGCTGATGGTGTCCGGAAGGCTCGTGTCCGTCGCCGGTTTCCCCATGAGTGTGTGTTTAGCGGCTGATGTGGGTTTATTGAGTTTCATGGGTATGAAGGTGTTTGAAGCACAGTGTTCTCTCAGATATTCCCCCCCGTTCTCCTCATAGTCCTGCCGGCTGATCCAGCCCTGGTCTTCCGCAGGGTTCCTGAGGGCCCATTCACGAGCCCCGAACCAGGCGTCCAGAGCCGGCCGGCTCGCCACACACACCTGCCCGACAGATGCAGACCAGTTAATCGTGCTAGAAGTTCTCAAAGATTGATCAATTTCCAATGTATAAAACTTGTGTGACTTTTTTCTGTTGTTAAATTAGCTTAATTATTAAACAATTAAAGTGGTAATTCTGGGGGAAAGTGTGCTTTTACATTGGTCACACCGAAAGTACTTATGGAACTTTTGAAACAAAGAAAAGACATTTTATTGCATTAAAACAGTATACATATTAAACCTCCTCAAGGCTGGTTCATGGACAGCTTTCAGAGTAGTGAATAAAAAGGTTCTTTCACACCAAACACATTGCATTAAAGACAAACCACAGACGGTGGGCCGCTCTTGATGGATGTGGTAAACGACGGCCTCTATATGAGGATATGAGGGGAGAGTTACATCAAGAACAGAGAGAACCCATTAATCAAAGACATGTCCCACAGTGGACACACACACATACGTCACGAGTTCTGCACACACTTCAGAAGGACGCCCGCATTACAACGAGGGAATGACATATTTATTTTATGACATCCTGGGTCTAAAACCACAGGCACAATGTGATGCAGATGATGTTCATCATTTTTATGTTTATGCAGCAACTCGCTAATCACAGACTTGGAAGATGTTTATGAATCAGAATATAAATGAATCGGGTATAATCAATGAGAATATATTAATTTTATGTATTGCCCAGGCCTTTAGGTAGATCATATGTATATAAGCAGATGTAAAGTCAGACTCTATAGTTGCTCTGCATCTCTGATAATAAAGGCTATTCTGTGGCATCAAAACCCACGACTTCGAGTGATTCTCCACACAGCCACGTCACACGTCTGTAGTTTAAAGGGTTCATGAACAGATCTTCACTATTTACAGTGATGTTTAGTCTAAGCCACTCTCAGTGCATTAGTTCCATCAAACGCTCCGATATGTGAATCGGCATCCACTGTATCTATTCAATATGATAAACACTGTCCCAAAATATCCGACTTTGGTGGGAAAGGGCCTTAATGTGCAACAGAATATTCCATAATGACTTCATTTACCTCATATTTCGTGACCCTATGATGTGTTATACACTTGTTTGGATCACATGTAGAATGATTCAAGCATTTGAGACTGATATTCAGACCTGAAAGTGTGACTGGAAGGGTCTGATGGCGAGCAGCTCTCTCTGCACTCTTTCTTTCAGTCCAGGATACTGCAGGTTTCCTCCAGTCAGAAACACATTCTTCACCAGCGCCTCCTGCTGTTCCGGAGGGTACCTACACACACACACACCTTTTTAATGATTCCCCAAACAACGATGAACTTAAATTACGGAGCTCACAACTAACATCACTGAACGTTCAATGTTTCAGTCATGTCCGGTTTAAACTGAACTGGCAACCTTTACAGTGATGTATTAAGGCTCGAGAGACTTGCATTATTTACTGACCCACTGTTAATGACAATGTGTAATTAAAGACACATTCACAACCGAGATTTATTATTCATATTCATGAATATGTAAAAATGTGCAGCACACGTTCCTCTCAATAACAAAATAAACACTGAACAAAAGTAACAGCGGTGAGCAAACAGCCGTTGAGAAAGCGTCAGATCACAGTGATGTGGAAATGTTTGTGTGTTCATGTTTTCACTCGTGTCTGACCTCGCCGGACTGACCAGGATAAACCAACCAGAAGATGAAGAGGGCGGAGCCACAGAGCCCATTACATCATCACCACAGGCCAATGGTTCGAAGGCGTAGGCCAACTTTTCCGGAAACAAACTCCAACAAGCATTGTTTGGCCGGATTTTGTTTGAAATTAAGTCACATTCTTCAATTTCTCTTGAAGTATATCGATGCCTAATGCTGACGAGTGCATAGAGCTTGTGAATAATAGATGGTGTTTTAATCAGTTTTGCTGAGACACATTTATCTGCCCAAGTTAAAATACATTTATATAGATTCAAGGGTTTATTGGTTACACTTAATTGTAAGCTGTCCTTGTTACAGTGTAATTATACATGTAAGTACCGAGTAATGTTAATTAACAACATGTGCTTACTGGTTAGAATTAGTTACATGTAAATATCAGGGTTCCCACACCTCGGTTAACTTCAAATTCAAGGACTTTCCAGGTCTAATATTCTCAATATCCGCTTAATGTGGGGACACATGTGTTGTGTTCAACAACAAACGTTGAGGTTGATGATGATGAAGATTTATTTTGTCCTCGAGAGGAAATTTGTTTCCACCATAGATGCGTACATAATACAAACACACATGTGTAACTTTAAGAACATGAACATATAAACTAGGGGTGTGCAAAAAAATCGATTCACATTTGAATCGCGATTCAATCTTTACCGATTCAGAATCGATTCATAGAATTCCAAAAATCGATTCATATATTTTTTTTTATGGCGTGCACGGGCGGAGTGGCAATCGGGTGAGTCGGGACTTTTACCGGTGGTTCGGTAGTGTTTCGAGGCTGCCAGGGCCGGTCTGATAAATAGTTACATTGCAAGTTCTTGCCGCCCGCTGGTCAAACTGTGCAGCCTCTCTGCTTAACCCGTAAATAAATGCATCGATCCGCAGATTATGTTTGAGTTCTTAATGGTCTGTAGATCTTTTGCCAAGCGTGTTACGGGTTCTAAACCGCACTCGTATCGTTTTTTCTCTCTCTCATCAAAACCGAATATGTTCATCACGTTTGTGTGCATTTTATTTTTGAGATTTTACCGGAGTCTCCACAACGGCGATATGAAGCGCGCGTCCGAGTGAAGACTGCGCGAGCCACAGAGAACACTGTATCCATGACACTGATAGCAGCGGACACGAGCGCGCAGCTTGATTTCAAAAACAACAGATCTCTTACTTAATAGCGAACTAAATGAATGCTCTGCTAGTTAACTGGAGATACCCGCAAATTACGCCTATGAACGACTTCACTGGATCTAAACAAATCAATCTAACCATAGATGTTACCAGTAGCGGTGGCTTTTTAAAATCTATTTAAAATTATTTCGCAAGGGTTCTATGACATTAGTATATTTTTAGGAAGTTCAATGTGCCCAGTCGAGTTCACATTTCAACAGTCAGCCTGGTAGCTGAAGTACTCCTTAAACCACATTTAGCATAATTGTTTGTTTGATCTGACTACAGCACTTTAAAGCTAAATGTAAAAGCTTTTTATTTAAGTTTTATTTTAAACTTGAATTAAATGTATTTGAAAGCTGGCCAAAGCTTGGCACTTTGCACTTTTTAGTTGCAAAAGTTTTTATTTTTGTATGAAGACATAAAGTAATATCAAACTACATTTAATTTGTTGTGTTATTTTTCTTTTAAATTGTGTCTACTGCAATCAATCACATAGGAAAAAGTAAACTACATTTATATACTGTGAATCGTTTTTTGAATCGAGAATGGTTTTTGAATCGAAAATCGATTTTGAATCGAATCTTGAGACAAAAAATCGGTATCGAATCGAATCGTGACATTTTCTGAATCGTGCACCCCTAATATAAACATCTACAAAAAACAACGCAGAAAAAAACAACAACAAGAGAGCATACCTGACGTATCAAAGGCAGATTTCCAATGTATTTAGAGCTCGTATAGATACAGGAACAAAACTCTTACTAAACTTGGCCTTCCTACACATCGGTAACCTATACCTGCGGCCAGAAGGAAGAAGGATAAAATATTTGTAAAGTGGGTGTTCTGAGTCATTTAAGATTTTTTGTGCCTTTTGCAACGTGAATGTCGAGACACTATCCGATAAATTGGGGGTAGGGATACCAATAGGATCCCTATGGGATCAATAGGATTTACCAATGGTAAAATGGTAAATGGACTGCATTTATATAGCGCTTTCACAGACCCAACGGCCCCCAAAGCGCTTTACATATTGCCTCACATTCACCCATTCACACACCGACGGCGGTGTCAGCCATGCAAGGCGCCATCCAGCTCGTCGGGAGCAGCTGGGGTTAGGTGTCTCTCTCACACACACACACACAGCTGGGGTTAGGTGTCTTGCTCATGGACACCTCGACACTTGGTCAGGTGGAACCGGGGATTGAACCACCAACCTTCCGGTTTGTAGACAACCAACATGAACCACTGAGCCACTGCCGCCCCCAGTAACGCGTAAATGAGTTATCTTTAAAAATTTGTTCTGGTTGGTAACTGTAAGCATATGAAAGAAACCAGGTTCCATCGTAGTAGTTCCGTGCGCGTGTGAACGTCATGGCAAGGTACAACACAAAGCACCTCACGCGGGAAACACTTACCGTAATGCGTAAATGCGTGTAACTAGCGTAAATCAAGCAAGCTAGTGCTCACAGGCCACGAAGTGTTGGTGAGATAACACATTAGCGGAGCGGAGGGAATAAGATGGAGTTTTTTCCAGAAAACTTCTTGCACAAAATAAATTCAAGCAGTTTCAAGAGCCTGTATCTGTGTGTGTTTGTTTTCAAAAACTTTCCAGGGCCTTGAGGTTTTTTTTTCAGATTCACAAACTTTCAAGGACCCGTGGGAACCCTGAAATATGTCTAAGTTACTGTTATTTCTACAGTAAGTACATGTAATGTGTTTGTTTGTGTGACCGCTCACTGTTCCAGGACGAACTGCAGCGTCTCCATCAGGCCCATCTGCTCCTCTCCGACCAGCGCCGGCTGGAACAGGATCTCCGGGACGCGCAGCCGCTCCGTGCCCACGAACAGCTGATGATACTCCGCCATGTTGAACAGCGGCTTCCAGACAACAGGAAGACAGAGACATCAAGACCAGAGGACACAACACAAATCTGGCTGCTCATGAATAACAACAGTAGACTGTAAAACACCTCGTCACACTTTATTTTAAGGTGTCGTTGTTACAGTGTAGTTATATATTTAAGTGCTGAGTAATATTAAGCAACTACATGCACTTACTATAAGGGAAGGGTTAGGGTTTGGTTGAGGGTTAGTTGCATGTAATTATGCATCATTTACTGTCATTACTATGGTAAGTACATGTAACATGTATAACAGTCACTCATTGGTCTTCCTCCAGATTACCTGGTTGGCACTGGTAGTTTTGCTGGGCTCCTCGCTCTCCTCGTTTAGGTCGGTCTCGATCTCGTCCGGCTCCACCTCTGCCGTCGGACTCAGCATCTGCTCGTGCACAGAGCACCAGTTCAGCTCAAAGGGCTCACGGCATGCCTTTTAATTCCTCACACAGTTTCTGTGATGCTTTTGTATGTTAAATTTTTTTTTGCACAGAAGAAAAAAACAATCACATTCGCAAAACATGATTATTCCCCGTTGTCATTCTGCCAGAAACGCTGGTTTTGCTGCTAGATAAATGTATTCCTCATGTCACGACCGCTTTAAATACATGAGCAAACCTCGGGCTTGACGAGCCGGTGCTGCTCCACACTCATGCTGAGCTTCTGGATGTAGGACTGAAGCTCCTCGGCCGAGTCCATGTTGAGCTCCACCAGACTCCTGTGAAACAGCTCCAGCGAGCCGTCCTCCAGCAGCTCCTGCGGCACAGCACAGTCAGTGTGTGTGTGTGTGTGTGTGTCAGAGTTTCCGCTAGAAAAAAATGGTTTCGTTTAACGGACATTTTGATGATATGCCGGTCAAATATCGCCTCTTAATTAGTCAAGTTGAGGAAAACTGGAGGCAGGCTATGTAACTTAAAAAATGACATAATCAGGCCGTATAGAATGCAACATGTTATTATTAGCCTAACTTTCAAATAAACGGAAAAAAACATGAACGTCCGATTGGCGTCAAATCAACACCAATTGTTTTTTACTATGGTTTCACACACATTAACTTTTTGAAACATTGAGGCACAGATATGCCTAATACAAATAAATAAAACATCTCCAGTTAACTAGCAGATCATTCATTTAGTTTGCTATTAAATAAGAGATCTAGCGCTAAAATCAGTTGTTTTTGAAATCAAGCTGAGCGCTCGTGTCCGCTGCTATCAGTTGCATGGACGACGCGCTGCGCGAATTGCGCAATCTTCACTCGGACGCGCATTTCAATCTATCGCCGTTGCGGACAGGCGAATAGAGCAGCACAGGCGAAGCACAGGCGAAGCACTGCTACTTGGGTGCAGAGATATCACGCAACACCTGAAGTAAAGCTTGCCAGTGCCACAAAGAACCGGCGAAAGTAATGATTATGCATGAAACATTTAAATTGTTGATAAATTGATAAAGTTGACGATGCAGACTCGCCATCTTCGCAGTAGTGAACGCGCCTAGAGAGAGAAATGCACACTTCATATGAATAAATTCTTATTCATTAATCCAGGCAAATTTGTTGATGAAACATTGATTAAAATGAAGATAAAATTTATACAAAAATGAAAAACTTTAAAGAAAGGCTTTCTACAAAACAAAACTAAATAAGTGGTCAAAATCATGTCTGACCAATTCCAAATGTTTTCCGATATATAGGCCTATTGGTCATCTTATGCTCCTATCTTACTCATATCATGCGGTTCCCTTTTCATATAGCCTAATCAACATAGATGAAATAAAAAAATAATAACATTATATATAAGTTTTAAACTTATAATAAGCGTCACACCGCTCCGCTTTGCTCACATGCTCTGGTGTGTAGCCTAATGCATGTGTGCGTGAAAACACATTTTTATTCTGTAGCTTTTGGAAATTTGTAATTGTTTTTATAGCGTAGTTCTGCTATGCAGTATGTACAGCACTTTGGATCAATTTGTATTGTGTTAAATGTGCTTTATAAATAAAGGTTGTTGTTGTTGTTGTCTGTGTGGTGGAGGGGTGCGATTTTCGAATAATAATCAACCCAGCGATCTTCGAATATTATTTTTGCTTGAAAATTTCGTTTTCTATAAATTGTATATTAATTTTAATCAATGTTTCATCAACAAATTTGCCTGGATTAATAAATAAGAAGCAAATATGGTGGACAATATAGGCTAATCAGGACACGGAGGCGTCGGCGCATGCACACTTCTCTCTATAGGCGCGTTCACTACTGCGAAGATGGCGAGTCTGCATCGTCAACTTTATCAATTTATCAACTTTATCAATAATATCCATGGACCTGGCCATATTTGAAACGTCTCACTCAATCGTTCGTTGTTTAGGTCTATATTACAGCCGTTATAGGCGTGCGCTTTATTTGAAATGCAGCATGCGATGTTGTTTAATAACTTTCAAACGGTAGAGGCTGTTCCTTTCTAACATAGCCAAAGGTCGGTGTATTTTTGCTTTATACATATTTTTTTTTGTGATTCTTTATTTATTAAACATTTTGTGTGTATAAAACTATTTACAACAATGCCCAAGTTCTGCCCATAATCCTAGGACCAAAATAAAATAAATAATAAATATGACATGAAATAAGAATACAATTTGACAAAACTACACATAGAAGGATCTCAGAGTCTTTTGGATAGAGTCTCAATAAGGTCCAGCCAAAATTGTATTGTCTTTCTGTTGCCGCCAAGCACTTTAGCTGTGGTACACTCCAGAAGAACAATGTCAAGCAGATAGGACATCCAGATAAACGTCGCTGGGGTAGATGGTTCCACCCACAGTTTTAGAACAACTTTTTTAGCAGCAGTGAGAGCAGCGGACAGAATCCTCCTTTGATCGACAGACAATGACAGTGAGGAATCATCCAGCAAAAGAAAAACCAGAGGATCCTTTTGGATCGGAATCTTCAGAAGATCTGTCAGTAGGTCCTGGACTGCAGACCAGATCGGCACAATTAGAGAACAGTCCCAGAACATATATGTAACATATATGTAACATATATGTACCAACATTCGCGCATTTACACAGGTGACAAAAGGGATCAGATTTTCTTTTCATTTTATATAGCAAACAAGGTGTGGCATACGCCTTACATATTAACTTGTAATGTATCATTTGGTGAGCTGGATTTTTTGAGGTAGCAAAACAATTCCCCCAGACAGTGTCCCAGTCAATCACTGTGCTAAGTTGTCTTTCCCAGAAGTCCTCAGTCGGGATGTTCACGTACTGTCGTACCAAAAGCGATTTATAAATTATGCTCACCATACCTCTAGAAGCCATACTGGAGTCTATCCAGTCTATCATAGGATGAGAAGATATTTTAGTTGACCAGGGTACTCCATAGGCTTTTAGCGCCGACCTCAATCTTAAATACAGAAAGAAGGAGAATCCTGGAAGAGAGAATTCCTCCTTTAGGATTTGAAAGGACTTAAGCCCATAATCACTGTACATATCTTTCAGGGTATAAACCCCACATTTGGCCCAGCAATTGTAAACAAAGGGTTTGTTACCCGTACAGAGATTATTATTATGCCAAATGGGGGTAGAATCGCAGTATAAATCTGAAGCTCCCATGATCTTTTCTGCCATTCTCCAGGTTTTGATAGAATGACCTATAATTGGACCAAACTTTTCCAGAACCTTCTTATGTATCCCAGTAAAAAGTAAATCCTGTACACGGTGTACACCTCCATGAGGTTTTAGCCTGTGCATAGATTTGAGACGAACTCTAGGCCGTTTGTAATTCCATAAGAATTTAGTTACTGCTGTACAAAGCTCTTTAACCCTCTGGGGACCAGAAACGCGCCGGCGCGTTTTGCCGTTTTTTTTTCACATAGCAGAAAAATAGACTTAAAATACTCTGTTGATTTTGATTTTATACATCAATCGATCCTGTTAATTGTCTATTATTTTTCTGTATACTCACAATAAAAACAAAGTTTTGTGCTTTTTGTCAAATAAAGAAAAATAAACATGATGCGAGTTTTGCCTTCTCTCTGTCAGTGCAGTCCATTCTGAAACACGTCCGAAAAATTAACTCTAACTCTGCAAATACTTGTCATACAGGCACGAGAGATTTTTCTTTATGAAGCTTGAATTCTCTTCTTTTCAATGAAGTAATTTACACTCACCGGCCACTTTATTAGGTACCCCATGCTAGTAACGGGTTGGACCCCCTTTTGCCTTCAGAACTGCCTCAATTCTTCGTGGCATAGATTCAACAAGGTGCTGGAAGCATTCCTCAGGGACTTTGGTCCATATTGACATGATGGCATCACACAGTTGCCGCAGATTTGTCGGCTGCACATCCATGATGCGAATCTCCCGTTCCACCACATCCCAAAGATGCTCTATTGGGTTGAGATCTGGTGACTGTGGAGGCCATTTTAGTACAGTGAACTCATTGTCATGTTCAAGAAACCAATTTGAAATGATTAGAGCTTTGTGACATGGTGGAAGTAGCCATCAGAGGATGGGTACATGGTGGCCATAAAGGGATGGACATGGTCAGAAACAATGCTCAGGTAGGCCGTGGCATTTAAACGATGCCCAATAGGCACTAAGGGGCCTAAAGTGTGCCAGGAAAACATCCCCCACACCATTACACCACCACCACCAGCCTGCACAGTGGTAACAAGGCATGATGGTTCCATGTTCTCATTCTGTTTACGCCAAATTCTGACTCTAACATCTGAATGTCTCAACAGAAATCGAGACTCATCAGACCAGGCAACATTTTTCCAGTCTTCAACTGTTCAATTTTGGTGAGCTCTTGCAAATTGTAGCCTCTTTTTCCTATTTGTAGTGGAGATGAATGGTACCCGGTGGAGTCTTCTGCTGTTGTAGCCCATCCGCCTCAAGGTTGTGCGTGTTGTGGCTTCACAAATGCTTTGCTGCATACCTCGGTTGTAACGAGTGGTTATTTCAGTCACTGTTGCCCTTCTATCAGCTCGAACCAGTCTGGCCATTCTCCTCTGACCTCTGGCATCAACAAGGCATTTCCGCCCACAGAACTGCCGCTCACTGGATGTTTTTTCTTTTTCGGACCATTCTCTGTAAACCCTAGAGATGGTTGTGCGTGAAAATCCCAGTAGATTAGCAGTTTCTGAAATACTCAGGCCAGCCCTTCTGGCACCAACAATCATCCCACGTTCAAAGTCACTCAAATCAACTTTCTTCCCCATACTGATGCTCGGTTTGAACTGCAGGAGATTGTCTTGACCATGTCTACATGCCTAAATGCACTGAGTTGCCGCCATGTGATTGGCTGCTTAGAAATTAAGTGTTAACGAGCAGTTGGACAGCTGTACCTAATAAAGTGGCCGGTGAGTGTATATAAAAAAACAAATATTCTCAGTTTATGTAATCTGTATGAAAAGAGAGTGCTGTCAGATTTTTTCCCCCTGCTCATTACACTTCATTACGCGTTAATCTGACACGCCCACGGAGGACGCGCGCTATTCAAACGCAAATGTTGAGGCAAGCCATGACAACGCCCACATCAGCCGTTCCACCGCGGCGGTAAAATGTGGGGTGTATTTTCTGCCTTTTACCGCCAAGAGGCGCTACAATCATAGACTCTAAAAAGTGTTTGTTTATTCTCTCTAATGCGTAATCTGCCGCCGCACCGCGGCTCATTCAGAGCGATTAAAAGCTGGTAGCAGATGAATTCAACAAGTGAAAGGTAGTTAAAATAATTCATAATCACAATACTGAAATTAGGC